TATCTTAGCACATTTACATTTCCTAAACATTATTTGTTATATTTGCATACATAAGGTTGAGAAGTAACAAAAAAAAATTATGGGAAAATTAAAACCCATTTTGTCCCTATTCTCAAGAATCACTGAATAGCGATACATGGAAGTCCTGGTTGTCTTGGGTAACCAAAGGGAAGTGAGAATCATCTGATTCAAACCTGGAGTGACCAGAAAGCAAAGGTTTGTCCTGGGATGGAGGAAATATAAATAAACTGAGTATTTCTGTACATGACACAAGTCTGACTTATGACAGAAGTCTGATACGTGAAAAGAAATTGTGGGAGTACAATCCTTAAGCCACTCCAAATTGCCTCCAACATGCAGAATTACAATTCTGGAATTTTAGAAAAAGCTTGAAGGCTGTAAAGCTTTTACATTTTTTTTTGTTGTTGAAGGTATTTCTTGCAGTGGTGGGCTGTCAGGACCTGCTGGCCTAAACGCTATCAGAATCGCTAACATATATCTCTAACATATATCTGCAACCTAAATTACTAATCCGCCCTAATTATATTGGAAAAGGAAAAAGTTTTTTTTATGTAGTAGATTGAAAATAATCTATTACTGCAATGTGATTAAAAAAAGAAACTATGTATGTCACTAAACAAGGAAAAATCCAAACAACTTCAAGCTCCATTTCATCTAAAAGATTACATAGTTTCATTATATCCCAAAAGACTACTTTGTCTTTGGTTCCCAGAGTTTCTAAAAGTAGCACCCATGGGATAGTTTGTTTTAACTGCAGTCCTGTGACATTCTTACTAGTAGGCAGGATGTAGACAGCAGCAGAGTAAGTGAGATCTCCCCACAGAGAGATGTAGTCTCCACATGGGGTCAGTCTATGAGAAAATGTATGAAATTTCTAGTGGACCAAGCAACACAACTCTCATTAATTTTATTATTTACTAGACAATGTCCAAATGCACTGATCAACTTGGATTTTTCTTTTTTTAAAGTCTAATACCAATACACTTTAAAAGAGATACAATATACAAAATCACATTTTTTAGCCAATAAATACATTTCCTTGGAGTTTGAGTGTCTAGGAGTGCAAAAGCATAAAATTTATTCTCTCCCAGAGTTGCATAGAAATCTTTATATTCTTTTTGAGTTATACTTTTCAAACTGTTCATTTTTCTATATTTACTATAATGTTTTGACATCACTGTATTTGCTGTTGAACTGCTTAAAAAAGGTCATGACTTTCAGCTAATCAGTTTTGTGAGTCTGTCATTTTTTTTCTTTGAAGCAATTTTATAGTCCAAGTTCAGATATGCCATTTTGACTTGCAAGGAGACAAGTCAAAATGTTCGGTTCCAGCACATATTAATGCACAGGATTCTTTACATTGGCCCCCAGCATCAGAACCTCTTCAAAGTGTCAGGTTGACTTTTATTTTTCAAGGGAATGTACCTATGGAGGACCAAAACCGACATAATAAGAAATAAAAGAATAAGTATATAAATAAAAGAATAAATATATATCTGACATAATAAGAAATAAAAGAATAAATATATAAATAAAATAATAAATATATATTTTGATAAGAATTAAAAGCACAAATATATATTTTGATAAGAAATAAAAGCATAAATATATATTTAGTTTTTAATTTTTCTTACACATGAGTTTTGTCAAGAAAATTAGATATTTTGCCTTACCTTCTTTTGCTTCTCCATTTTCTGCTCGCTGTATTTCTGCTTACTGTTTTTCCGTTTGTTGTATTTCTGCTTGCTGTTATTCTGCTGCATCGTTATGTTAATGAGGAGAGCTGCCTTCTATGTCTACTGTTGGCCAATAGAGCTTTAGAACCAACGTCACTGCGTCAGACGTTGTGGGGCGTTTAGGTGCAGTAGCTCTGTGCACAGACCAAAGCAAATTTTATCCCGGCTACAGTGAAGTGAACCTCCGAGCGATTGAGGAGGGAGCTAGAGAACGACTGGCCGAAATTAGCTTTCATAAATCGGATCAACCTTGAGCTAAACGCCGCTTGCTCGGCGGATATTGGAAAATCCAATATCCAACTCGAAACTAACTTCACTGCAGTCGGTAACACAACAAAACCACAGAGATAAAGTTTGTTTTGGTGTGTGGCATGCAAAGATGGCACCGAGCGACTGCACCTAAACGCCCCACAACGTCTGACGCAGTGACGTTGGTTCCAAAGCTCTATCGGCCAATAGCAGACATAGAAGGCAGCTCTCCTTATTAACATTAACGATGCAGCAGAAAACAGCAAACGGAAAAACAGCAAACAGAAATACAGCGAGCAGAAAAGGGAGAAGCAAAAAAATGCTTCTCCCTTTTCTGCTCGCTGTATTTC